ATTAAGAAAATGTTCTGCATCCTACTTTGGTGAGTGGTGTCTGGGGTCTTAAAAGCTTGCAAGCAGCCATCTAAGATGCATCAATTGGTCTCAACTACCTGGAGTAAAGGAGAATGAAGAACACCAAAGACACAAGGAAAGTATTAGCCCAAGAGACAGAAAGGGTCACATACACCAGAGACTTCAATTAGCCTGAGACCAGAAGAACTAGATTGTGCCTGGCTACCACCAATGACCACCCTGACAGGGAACACAGCAGAGAGTCCCTGATGGAGCAGAGGAAGGGTGGAGAGCAGAACTCAAATTCTAGTAAACAGACCAGACTTAATGTTCTGACTGAGACTGGAGGAACCCCAGAAAGTAAGGCCCTCAGACTCTCTGTCAACCCAGAACTAAAACAATTCCTACTCTTCAGACAAAGATTGGACCGAACTTTGGGACATAAAATGATACTCGTGAAGAGTGTGCTTCTTGGCTCACGGAGAAACATGAGACTAAATGGCCAGCTTCTGTCCAGAGGTGAGATGAGAAGGCAGAGAGGGTTATGAGCTAGTTGAAAGGATACGGGAAATCAGGGGTGGAAAGGATGAATGTGCTGTCACAGTATAGGGAGAGCAATTAGGGTCACATAACAATGTATGTAAAAATTTTTTGTATGAACGACTAACTTGAATTGTAAACTTTCACTTAAAGTACAATTAAAAAAAATAAAGAAAATGATGTTGCTTATTGGTCCAGGTTTTAGGATTTTTGTTTTACGTTGAGGTGTAATTCATACTGAAGACTGTGGTCTTTGATTTTCATCAGTAAGTGCTTCAAGTTCTCTTCACTTTCAACAATCAAGCTTATGTCATCTGCATATCACAGGCTGTTAATGAGTCTTCCACCAATCCTGATGCCACATTCTTCTTCATAGTCCAGCGCTCAGATTATTTACTCAGCACTGAATAAGTATGGTGAAAGGATACAACCCCAACACACATCTTTCCTGATTTTCAACAATGCAGTATCTCCTTGTTCTATTCGAACAACTGCCTCTTGGCCTATGTACAGGTTTCTCATGAGCAGAATTAAGTGTTCTACAATTCCCATTCTTCGCAATGTTATCCATAATTTGTTATGATCCACACAGTCAAATGCTTTTACATAGTCAATAAAACACAGGTAAACATCTTTCTGGTATTCTCTGCTTTTGGTCAAGATCCATCTGATATCAGCAATGATATGCCTGGTTCTACATCCTCTTCTGAATCCGGTTTGAATTTCTGGCAGTTCCCTGTCGATGTACTGCTGCAACTGTTTTTGAATTATCTTCAGCAAAATTTTACTTTTCTCTAGAAAAGCAAAACCAGCAATGCATATAAATATATATATAGAGAGAGATTTATATCAAGGAAATGGCTCACTCGGCTTTTAGAGGTTGTAAATGTCCCAAGTCCGTGGGGCAGGAAAGAGGCTTCTCCTGACTCACGTAGCTGCAGGGGCTGGCAAACCCAAGATCGGCAGGCCAGAAAGCAGGGCTGTTGCAGGCTTCTCCTGACTCACATAGCCTCAGGGGCTGATGAGCCCAAGATCAGCAGGCTGGAGAGCAGGGCTGTTGCCTTACAACGATCAATTATATGAGATCAAAATGGCAATATTTGCCCAAAAGCAAAGATGAGAATGCAGGAAAGGGTAGAAAATCAAGATGAAAAGAAACAAGGAACGCAGGGTGGAAATTGGGAGAGTGCTGACACATCATGGGGAATGAAACCAAGGCCATGAAACACTTTATGTACAAACTATCAATGGGAATCTAATATGCTGTGTAAAATTTCACCTAATGCACAAAAAAAAAGAAAGAAAGAATAAGGAAAGATTTCTAAAACACAAATTTTTACTGAACACCTATTATGATCAAGGCACTGTTTAGACTCTTGGGAGACATTTTTAAACAAAATAAAGATTTCTGCTCTTGTGGAGTTTACACTTGAGCAAGGGGAGACCTACAGAAAATAATATACGTAATATGTAAGTTCATGGTGTTTGAAAGTCGTAAGTGCTATGAAGGGATAGATCATGGTTGTTATGGATTGAATTGTGTCCCCCCAACATGTGTGTTGAAATATTAACCTCTGTACCTGTAAATATTACATTGTTTAGAAATAGGAGTTTTTATTTTATTATTTAATGAGATCATACCAGTGTAGGATAGGTCCTAAACCTAATCACTTCTGAGTTATGGAAAGACCAGAATAAACACAGAGATATACATGGGGCAAGACAGAAGCCATTTGAGCTTTGTCTACAAGCCAAGGAATCA